GAGATGCTTAATTAAAAATTGGCTTCACTTGAATCAACTTAAGGAAAAAGACTTGGATACAATTTCTAAACTTTTGAATATTAACTTAATTATTAATAAAGTTTTATGAAGTTCTTTTTCATATGAATTTCCTAAGCGACTTTAATATAACAAATTGCAATTTTTCTTGAAAGAAATAGAGGATGAAAAATCTTAGACTTAATTACTGAATATCTTTACACCTTTAGTATTAACTAGAATTGTTTTGAATTTTTCTTAAGTTAAACTATTATGTTCAGAGAACTAAAATATGAAAGTCTAAAAGCTAAATTATTTACCATAAGTCATATTTTGATGTAGTAGAGAAGTTACTTGAGGATAAGTAATATGTAAATTTGGGGGATTTTGATACACCAAAAATATATGTATTTTTAGACCCATATTTTATACTTATTTTTAGTGATATTACACTTTAATGGAAGGTATTTTGATGTTTTCTTGCAGGTTGTTGATTTTTAGGGCTTAAAGTAAAAATGAAGCAAAAATGATGAAATTTGGAGTCAAAATGAAGTTTTTAAGGAAATGCTCAAAGCCGACAACGCCAAGGTCAGCGCCGATGGCGCAAAACAACCTAAAGCAGGAGGATTTTACTCAGCGCTGATGGCGCCAAAGGCGGTTCAAACCCCGTTTCTAGAAGGTTCGATGTATTTGGACAATTTTTTAAGAGTTTTTGGAGGCATCTCTTGGAGAACCGATCTTGGGCTTTATTTAGGGCCAAATTTCATCAGAAAACGGGCTCCTCTACGTTCATTTTTTGCTCCACAACGTTCCACCACGTGACATTTTCATAATCCATCTTCATTCCACCATCATATTGGAGTCAATTAGTAATTTTGATTTCATAGTTTAGAGTTTTTGTGGTGATATTTAGTGTGAAACTTTCTGTAAGAGTGTTGGAAAAGGAGAAAAGTGAGAGAGTTCTTCTTCTTGCATTTCTAAGGAAAGGCTACAAAGGATTTGCTTTGAAAAATAGTTCCAGATAAGTTTGTTTGTTTATTTAGTGTTGTATAAGCTTTCTTTTATATATAAAATTTGTATTTTTTTTGTATCTTTCTCATGAAGTCTGAGTAATTTCCTCTATCTTTCCCCCTACTTTGAGATCTGGAGAAATAAAGAGATAATATGAATGTGCCATAATTAAAATATAAAATAAATTGTGATGAGTTTTCAACTCCGAACTTAATTTACTTTTCAATCTAGCCAATTGATTTGTTAAAAAATGTTGTGAAACATATGATCCGGTAAATGGAGTATGCATTCTACAATAGAGTAAGGATCACATTTGATTTCATGAAGGAGAAATTTGTTCATGAAATTAAGTGCAAAAAAATAGGAAACTATTCTTTATTGGGTGTAGAATTGGAGAATCTTTAGCGTGATAGACTAAAATCACTAATTTGGTCTTAGTGTTTAAAAACTAAAGCGAGAGTTAGCCTTTAGGTGAAGGGAAGTGGGAGCTCTGGAGTGGGA